GTTGGCCGTTACATTGTGCAAATCCAAATCCACGCTTCTAAAATGGAATAATATTTTTATTCAGGATTGAGGAATAGATGCAATCTATTTCAAACCTCTCTCCATGTCAGATATAGACACATATATTTACATTTTATGGATAAACAAACAATTAACAAGTTTAAACTCTAGTAATTGCCAATGGTGACAGCTTCAAAATAATTAATGAGCTCTCTGTTTCGTCGTCATTACCGTGCAGTAGATAATAGTGTTTCGATGGGTACATGACAATTTGTTTATTGTATTGTTGCTGGCCCCTGGATATAAGGGGCACAACCAAAGAAAGTGTTTAGTATCTCCAAATTGCGGATCCCATTTATGAATTGTATTATCAGAAATATGACGTAACAAATATATTGCCACAAGAGGTATGCAGCTTACATTGAATGATTTGGTTTGCCCGGGATCAAAACGAAAACAATTTTGGTGATGTTGAATCTTGTGCCATCAGTTTCGAATTTAAGAGATGTCTCCACTTAATGTATTCCATTCACTAATTGACGAGGATATGAAAGAATTATAGAAGATATCTGTTTCACATTGATATTCGGGTAATTTTGTTTTAGAATGTGCCCTTGTCTGTCACGATTGGACCACAGAGACAAGACGGTTTCTGTATCTCTGTTAGAGTGATAAAACCGGCTTCATTATGACTGTCTATGACTGGTATCCTTTACAAATTCACATATGGCTCAAGAATAGGGAGCAGGACAAATACTTAGTCACCAGGTTTGATGTTCCGCTCACTAGCCTTTTAGCCATACCCGTTTAATATTTAAAAACTAGCTTTCGTTAACCGTGTTAGATGATTCTACTTTTCTACTGAAGACGAGAGAGGGATGAAGGGGGCGGGGTGTAACGTGAACTCGACACAAACTTGGCCATTTAGAGACTAACGTATGGCACAAGTTTGGAATGGAAACCACGCTTATAATCTAGACCCTCACTTTAATGGATTGTAAACTATATACTGTAATTATCGGTGATAAATAAGATTCTCATATAACATATGAATACAGTTGTTCTTTTTATATGAATTGAAAAGAATAAAACATGCGTAGTCATACCATCGTGAGATATGAATCATGTGGTTGTAGCTGATGTAGTTTATTTTCTATTATTAAATAGAGACACGTGACTTTATAAATTCAATTATATTGACAGCGGCTCTGCGATCTATTGGTATTTCAAATTCTAATTCTCAAAGGTACTTGCCCCCCCAACCCGTTCTACACTACTGTTAAGGGAAAATCCCCGCGATGACGTCCAAGCGATGACACTTGTATTACAACCGCAATCACCCAAAGGTCATGGCCTTACAGTTTATACGAAACGTATTTTATTGAAAATATAATCACCGTTATGTTTTAATGTGCTTAATGACTAAATACTATTCTAGGGCAGGGTTATGTTAAATTATAGAACTCATGGATAATAATATCTTCTGATAAGACGGTTTTATTGTGTTCGTCCAATTAATATTACTCAAGCGTTATAATATCTGTTCTTAATATGGTTTATTGTATTTCAGGAAACTAAACGTGAATATATATATATTCTTCACGGCATGCTTTAAAACGAAATGTACAGAGGATGGAAATAGCCATATCATTAATGAAGGTTCCCAGTCAGTATCTGGTCACGATTATTATGAAGAAATACCATTTAAAAACACTTTTTTTTTTTTTTTTAAACAATATTTTTATTCATTAAATCTGAATTAGGATTGGGGAACAGGCTATGCCTATGTGTGACCCCTCTCTCTGATTTAGGTACATGTACACATTATAAATATTTACATACATACATACATATATACATAATTACATAATTATAGAGCATATATGATACATCATGGATAATATAGAGACTTAGATGATTACACAGAGTGCAGGGCTTGGAATGACTTAAGAGTTGTTTATGGAGATTTAAATCTTTTTGATAAGGAAATAAATTGTTGGACTTCTTGGAAAATAAGTGTGTTTATCTCTGGACTAAGTTTTGTTGACCCATACAACAGACAACTGATTGTTTTATGATTATGTTGAAGGTTATGGATTGTCCGTTTTCTTGCATCTGAATATAAGTGGCATACGAGTAAATAGTGTTCGGTATCTTCGAATTTGTGACCACAGAGGCAAGCAGGGCTATCATCGACGTGTCTGAGGAATTTATGGCCTTGTAGGTTCGAGCAGCATAATCTTAGTTTACAGTGGATTATTTGTGATTTTCGTATCCCAGTATAGTAATATGATGGCACGATGGTGTCTAATTTATTTAGTGAATTTCCAAAGATAGCAAGGGATCGAGAGTTTCTAATTTCAACGTTAAGTTTGTTCCATTCTCGTATACTGGAAGGGATGAAGGACTCACATCACTATGCTGATCCCATAGATATTCTTCAACCACAAGAACAAGACAGTGTCACTGGTGCATCCCTACTCTATCATTTGGAACGATCCGTCTCTTTTGATAGTAAAGAACAAGAAGATTGTTCGCGATCGGATTCAAGGAAACGAGAGATTGATCTGGGATACACCCAAGTCAACAAGACGTTTCGGGTGGAGTTTTCAAATCACAATGGGAACACTAGTTACATGATTGGAGATAAAAGAAGTAACTCGATGGAATCAAGAAGATTGTTCGCGATCGGATTCAAGGAAACGAGAGATTGATCTGGGATACACCCAAGTCAACAAGACGTTTCGGGTGGAGTTTTCAAATCACAATGGGAACACTAGTTACATGATTGGAGATAAAAGAAGTAACTCGATGGAATCCATATCTGATCCAGATTATGATCATTTGGGATCCGACAAGAATACAAAATCGGCTAACAATAGTCTGTCTGATTATGACCACATTTGTATGAATTATTAAAAAAAGAATGCAGTTATTTGACAATTCTTAGTATCAAAGTGTATCATTTTCAGAGTAAATTAGAATATGCAAGTTATTCTGAATATATGTGTATTTGTTCTAAAGAACCTTAATGACTTACATTATGTAAATAACCAGTAACAAATCCTTATTAACCCAAAAAGTATTCTAGCCCAGTTGAGATCTTTAGATAACGATTATTGGCGTATTAAGGGGGCGGGGGAGAAGGCGAGGGGGTCGTTGGCGATGCCACTGTGAGTGTTAGAGTGCTAAAATGGCAGACAAACTCAAATCTACATGATTGATGATAGCTATAAATAAAACCATTCAAATTGGCTCACTTAACTAAATGTTTCAAACGATTATCCGATCTTTCTTTATAGCTTCATTTTTGCAACATTATTATAATACAGTATCCAAAAAAAAAAAATTACTGCAGAAATGGCGACCCTTTAAAGTTATGTACTGTTTTGTATACCAGGTTGCAACTCAGGTCCATGGGCCTTTTGTTCTTTCATAATTTTGTCAAAATGTGAGTTCTGCAAAAAGATTTAAATAGTTTCAAACAAGTCATATCAAACATATTCAAAATATTGAAATATTTTTCAAAAATTGACTTTCTTTTACATTTCTCCACAAAATGGTCACTTATTACACTTTGTATGTCTCAAAATGCCAAAATTTCCCTTTTTCTTGGAAAGTCTGAGACGAAAGGCATTCATTTCTAGAAACCTTGGCCAGTATGCAAGAAGACAGGCTGCAAATTGGTTGAATTGAAGGTAACTGTAAGGGTCTATAATGAAGCTTGTAAGCCTACCCTATAAAAATGTTGCTGTGGTAATAAATCTAACTTGTCTCCACATAAGTAATACTGTTGATGGAATATGGCTAATAGCCATGTTCTTCTATCCTATGGAGGGACAAACAGCTCTTTATTCAGTGTTCTTAATTTTTTGTTCTTAATTCATAGTCCTTAATTCTTATTTCTTCATTTGTTGTCGTATTTCGACATTTGTACACTAAAATTAACACTTGTATCTTATAATCACGGGCCGTATACACAATGTGAAAGTTCCGGATTAAAGTCACATCTGTCCTCGTAGTTTTGTTTGGTAATGCGACACAGGATAGTGTCACAAAGGCTATTGAGCATTGATTTACCATGGTAATCGATATTTACCAAAATGACAGGAGGTTACCATAAAAACATTATTTCAATTAGCAAAAAATATTTACCACCATAAAATGTATCTGCCAGAATATTTTTCTTCTCTAAAATCAAAACGTTTTATTTAATAAAAGTTTTTTTTACAATAACGTCATTTACGATATTACCAGAACACAAGTCATTTACCGTTATGTTATTTCGGTATACATTATGTTGTTATTTTGATATACAAATTATTTACCATTATAAAAATTATATAATACAATAAAATTATTTACTACAATAAATATTTTTTACCACAATATAATTATTTACTACAATAAAAAGTAGTCGTACAGTCCCAATAAATTGTTTTACTGCATGAGGTAATGTCAATAATAAAAATGATATAATACAATAATACAATAATTATCGTTCCAAATAAATGTTTTTAACTATAATAAAACGACTTTATCACAATACAAAGTATTTATCATCAATCATAATAATAATTATTTATTATATTAAAGGTTATTTACTATAATGAAGGTTATTTACCATAATGAAGGTTGTTTACCATAATGAAGGTTGTTTACCATAATGAAGGTTGTTTACCATAATGAAGGTTGTTTACCATAATGATAATTATTTATTATAATAAAGGTTATTTACCATAATAATAATTATTTAACATAATAATAATTATTTAACATAATGATAATTATTTAACATAATGATAATTATTTAACATAATGATAATTATTTAACATAATGAATAATTATTTAACATAATGAATAATTATTTAACATAATGAATAATTATTTAACATAATGAATAATTATTTAACATAATGAATAATTATTTAACATAATGAATAATTATTTACCATAATAAAAGTTATTTACCCAAATAATTATCTTTAATATATTTGGCTTACAAAGTATAGATGAATTTCATGTCGCTTTCTTTCATCTTTGTTTCAATAAATTCATCAAACCTGTCATTGTCTGCTACCGTTATCCAATTCTTCCAATCTCCAACTTGTCCTAGAAGAAAAGGGGAAATGTTTTTATCTTGTGCATTTGAATATTATCGGATAGATACATTGATTAACGATTTGCTGCAGAAAGCAATTCAAATTCTAATGTGTCACAATATGGTGTTGGAAAAAAAAAATATTGAATAACTGTTTTTAAAGCTTCTATTAAAACGGTATCTTATCCGTCCATTTGGGACCATTAATATAATTAAATCAATTATATTATTATTAATATAATTAGATCAATTATATTATTATTAATATAATTAGATCAATTATAATATTATTAATATAATTAAATCAATTATATTATTATTAATATAATTAAATCAATTATATTATTATTAATATAATTAGATCAATTATATTATTATTAATATAATTAAATCAATTATATTATTATTAATATAATTAAATCAATTATATTATTATTAATATAATTAGATCAATTATATTATTATTAATATAATTAAATCAATTATATTATTATTAATATAATTAAATCAATTATATTATTATTAATATAATTAGATCAATTATATTTTCTACGTGAAGTGGTATTAGTCGTTCTACAATGTGAAACCAATCAGCATTTACTACCCCGCGCATGGCATTCGTTAATACTCATAGCTAAATGGCACGATTGGGTAAGCTAACCTTTTCTGAGCATACCGGATCCTTCCTTCCAGGTAATATTTAAGGTAAAGAAACCATGGTAAAGAAACCCTTCTACTTTGATGAGTGTAAGTGTTATATGACACGTGTGACAGGATAAATATTCATATTCTAGAAGATTGTCTATTAGTTCCCGATCAATGGTTTCAGTGAGGTTTAATGCTAACAATGGGGTGTACGTTTTATGTAGTCGATTGAAATATACTTTTAAAAAAAAGTAGGGGATATTTGATTTTGGGGGCATAATACTAAAATATGCAAATGACTACGAAAAAAGTCACTATAGAACCTAACAGAAGAAACATTTCCAGTTACATGTGACGCCCAAACGCACCAATAGCTACCGCATAGAATGCAGGTGATGCTTGGGATCATCATGGGGGTCCAACCCAAGATTTGCACGACTCTGACTTTGAATGTTACAGTCATTGTGGCATTGAATTCCAGGGTGGAAACATCAGTTTAATTGTTTTAGTGACCAGAAAACAAATTTTGATATGTGTCGGCTTACCCAAAATGAAAGGTTACGTGCCCTTGGCATGCTACAGATCGGCACAACACAGGCGGTTGTGGCGCGGACGATGAATGTTTCTCAGTCTGTCATAAGCAGGCTATGGTCCAGATACCGTGATACACAATCTGTACAGGACAGACCACGCTCAGGTCGACCAAGGGCGACAACTCAAGCCCAGGATCGATTTATCCGTACCTTGGCCTTGAGAAATCGTGTCATCACAGCAAATCAGATCAGCGCTCATCTTCAAACAGACACTGGTGTGAGAGTGAGTGGCCAGACGATTCGGAATCGACTGCATAGGGGTCACCTTCGCGCCCGACGTCCTCGCGTGATCCCTTGTTTGAGAGATCATCACATTCAGGCAGGACGTCGTTGGTGTAGGGATCGTCAACACTGGGATAATCGACGCTGGAGCAATGTGATGTTTTCAGATGAGTCAAGGTTCACTGTTGATTTTTTGGACAGACGTAGGAGGGTGTGGCGTCGTCGAAACGAGCGCTTCCAAGACGTTAACGTCATCAGACATGATCGATTTGGGGGTGGTTCTGTTATGGTGTGGGGAGGCATCACTGTTGCTGGAAGAACGGCTTTACATGTTGTTGCAGGGCGTGTTACAGGCCAGTACTACCGGGACAACATCTTGGCAGTCCATGTTGTGCCGTTCGCACGACGTCATGGCCGCCGTTTCATCTTCCAGGATGACAACGCAAGATGTCACAGGGCCAGGATCGTTACAGGTTACCTCCAACAACAGAACATCACCACATTACCTTGGCCAGCACTGAGTCCCGACCTCTCCCCCATCGAGCATGTCTGGGACATGCTTGGACAGAGGTTACGTCAACGTCAACAACGTCCTGCCAATGTCCAAGAACTTGCTGCTGCGTTGCAACAGGAATGGGACAATCTGGACCAAAATGACCTTAGACGTCTCATTAGGAGTATGCCACGTCGGATCAATGCTTGTTTGGCAAACAGAGGAGGATTTACCCGTTACTGACTTGGTTGTGATGCTGTGGTAACTTTGCTGTTTGACCCCGGGTATCATTTTACCCTTATAATGGTCAGTCTGTGCCTTACTTTGTCTAACGATCATTTGAAATAAATCGATGAATGTGAACTTCATTTCATTTTGTCATTTGTTTCTTCGTCAGTTTCATTAGGTGACTTTAATAACACTTAAAAATCAAATATCCCCTACTTTTTTTGAATAGTATATATACATGTTAACCATCGACAGACAGTGCATGTATGGTAGGGTGATTATTATTAATTCACGATCCACGGATTGAATGTATAATAAATATATACATGTTAACCAATCTACATTATACAATAAAATACCTTTTTCATATCTTCATAAGCTATTGCTATGATTGGTGTCTCACCCTTGTCCAAGATATCTTCCCACTCTTTAATATAATCACCCCATTTACCAAAGGCCACTGGAATAAAATACAAAACAATTATCTCCAATTACAATTACAATAATGGGTAACTCATTCAAAGGCTTTGAATTAATTGACCAATTTATTAAAGAACTCTGCAATAGTAGAAGGTAGCATCACCATGCGTTGAAATACGTCCACCCGGCAGCTATGTGTTGCGAAAATGCCTTTTTAGAAATCTGATCTTGACAACTTTTTCCCTGATTTTAAGAATATTACAAAATTGAGAATAATCCTTTTCTCTCGTAAACTTTACGAGGAATCGCGGAGAAATATCTATAGTCCTTGTACAAAAAATAAATTAAAATGGGGTTTAACGTCCTACTGTACTTCTGAACCGACCTGTCTAATAAATCCTGCTCGCTGAGATACAAATCTATTATTATGTGGTGAGCAGTGTTTACCCTACATATTGATTTGTTTTACAATACACAGACGTTCATGAAATAGTCTGAAATATTTTGATATTTTTAAACTTTTAACATTCATTGATTTATCCACTGATGTAGTGAAAATTGAATTCGGGATCTATTCGGATTTATGCACTCTTAATCAATACGGTTATACATGTATTGCATTGGTCTCTCAATGGTTATAATTATTGGGGCATTCACATCACCCTGGTACCACAATTCAAGTGAGTGGGAGGGTTATGGACTATAACAAGTAATAAGGCAGGATGTGCCATATAAATGTATTTTTATATTTAACAAGGAGAGGGCCTTTTTGAGTTGCAAAATACGCGTGTCTTATCATTTAATGAACCAAAAATATGTTAAAACTAAATTAGAGTAGAATTGGAGTTGGCTGCTGCGCGGCAGGGGATTGAAATGATTAATGTCATACATTACCCTTTTCACGTAAAAACAGATCAATTAAATCCTGGAACTTTCCCTCGTATCCATTGGTTCGTTTTATTCCCGTGATATGACAATACAAGGAAACTACTACGTCTTTAGGATTTCGATACACGTAGACAATTTTAGTTGTCTTGGTAAAGATCTGTTTTGGGAGATGTTTTACGCTGAGGTGGGTATTGAGTAACCTTGGAGATGGACGTTTATCAATGATTCCAGTCTCTGTAAATTCCAACATTTGACACTCCTTTGAATCTGTTGTATGTTTAGGCGATCCACTAATCAGCATGCGCACCATCTCCCAAACCCAGTGGGTACCTACAACAATTGATAGAGATTGGGAATTTAACACGGAAATTGAAAACGTGTTTATGATACTTTTATACTAGTAATTGTTATAATGTTTACATTACAAAAAACAAATGTTATTAGTTAGGCTTTGGTTGTGGGTAAGGCCGTAGTGTAAGGTTATAACTTAGATTTTGACTGTAGTTAATGTCGTGGTGTAAGGTTATAACCTAGATTTTGACTATAGTCAATGTCGTAGTGTAAGGTTATAACCTAGATTTTGACTGTGGGTAATGTCGTCGTGTAAGGTTATAAGCTAGATTTTGATTGTAGGTAAGATCGTGGTGTGGTGTAAGGTTGGGGTTCTAATCCTTATATATTACCTGATTTAGGGTAGGCGCTGATTAAAACATCATCTGATCTTATTTCAAGGTTGGCTATATTATTAAAGTGTTGTTCAATTGGTGTTGTAATGGGTAGAATGGGGAATAATATCTCGTCATATTCTATAAATGGCCCCAGTTCACAACCTGAACGATCTTTAAACTTTCTGGTCGTCATTTTATAATTTCCCCCCTCTACAACAAAACAAAGAGAGGTTAATTAATCATCCGTTTATTTTAAATTGTTGATGAGATTACAAGCTAGTAAAGTAACAATAATGTGTAAGAGGAAACACATATCAATATGACTCCAACTAACCTACAGCCATAATGAATGCGATAATTCTTTGATAGACGATTGAGGCCCGATTTTGTGCGGTTTAATTTTTAAAAAGGTTTTAATCCAGGTTGATCGATCAATCGAGAAAGAGAGAGAGAGAGAGAGAGATAGAGAGAGTGGTGGTAACGCCCAGTAAACAACTAGAAGATTACGTTACTAATAGAAAGTGCAGGGGGACTGCACCACACAAAATTTACACAAAAACAAATACACGGACAGGACATCATACTCAGGAAAACACAAACATACAGACACTTCCAAAAAATTTTAAAAAAGTGAATTGATCCGGGGGCTAGCTATAAGCGTCCACTGCGCTGTGCAGTCCCGGGTCTGTAGTGACACAGAATTCACTCAAATTTGAAAAGGTATCATGTATAAGGTGAAACACTACAATTGTAGTTTGTTTCAATGTACGCTCGTATAATAACATTCTATGTTCAAACGGGTCGGTTCACCTCCCGTAAGACTCCCGGGATCCACCATGCAACCGTTATCCTAACTGGAACTTTAATTCGTTTAATTCGGCTATAAAATCCAAATCAAGCAATATGGTCCTGATTATTGATAATATCCTGACATTCAGTTTCTCTGGTTTATAAATCTTATCTGTTTTGATACAACACCTTACCTATTTTAATGATTTTTATCCGGTTTGTTGGCTGGTCGTGCTAATCTCTATCTTAGCAATTTATATATTTATATGGGTTACCAGTATATCATGGTACGTGTGATGTGCATATATTGCTCCACTATTCAGTAAAATAAATAGGACATTAAGTAACTATATTACATATATAGGTGGATTAGAGGCATGTCTCGACATTCTTTTGGAGATACGGCGAATGGGAAACCATTATTGTCGCTTGCGGCGGGAACTCGTTGCAGGGGCTGGTGTCCTACTAAGATTTCACCTTAGTGTTTCCGTGTTTCCGATTTAGCCAGCTTTTTGATGTATAATAGCTTTGCAAGCGAATTCTCCCCAATGCATTCCAATTCTCTGCAAACTTTGCAAATACCGATTTTAAAGATTTTATAAATATCTTGTCAGATACATCTTGAAAACCGTGAGGGGCTTATGCTGCTTGTGTCAGGTGCTTGGTGTTAGAGCATTGAAGTCACTCGTGAATGATGAATTAGTTGTAAGGGAGATCATAATTATTAATTTGAAACCGAAAGTGAATGAGACCAGGAGGTGAATGGCCTTGGATAGGACATAATATTATTCTATTCCCAATATATCAAATTCATCTTGGCATCCACTGAAAATAATAATGGCCTAAATCAGAGGATAAAAATGATGTACGAATGGGATGCGGACGCTAGTGTCAATTACTCGTTAGACTAGAGGACTGATAAAATGGTCTATTTAGGTACAGGCTATAGTTAGTTGGTCTAGCGGACTGGTAACATGGTCTATTTGGATACAGGCTATAGTTTGTTGGACTAGCGGATTGGTAAGATGGTTTGTAAGATCATATAATAAGAATGCCAATCAAAAGATAACAAATCAACTCTTAAAAACGATCCTGACGATATGGCCCAACCCCAGCCTCTTAGTCTGATCTACGTCATTGTTCCAATAGATGTTTCAGTGGATAAGTCGATCGCTTACTAACCAGGTCATGAAGTCTAGGGCTCGATCTCGATATGGACCGAGATTAAGATCCAGGCGCCTGCTATCTATATAAGAACAGAATTAAAATTAATGGCAATAAATAACGTTAAGATTGATCTAGTTAGATACTTTTTGAACCACTTTATGTTTTAGGAAGACTAGGGTCTTTATTGTGGATTATTGTGGAAAACAGTTGTATCCAGTTTCAGACCCAATATCTTAACTAAATTTAAATGCCACAGTCTGAAATCTGCGTTGCATAATAATAATGCTAATCAACCTGATAGGAATACAGATCTATATTTTGTTTCGTTTTTTATACTTTCAATGGCCTACACTTACATGAGGCTCTGACAAGTTGTACTCGAAGGTCATGTCAGGGGTTGGCTTTTGACCGTATGGCGTCAGACATTGATCAATCAATCAGTGTTGGCTTATCCCTCACATCAACCAAAATACTGGTAATATAACAATTCTACCAGATCCTAGTGTAGTAAAGACAAGTAAAACGAAATTTTGAACTATAAAAAACGAAACGAAATAGGATCTGTGTTTTAATAAGACTGTAATGCTAATAATAATGATGATAATAATAATATGCTAATAATAATAACAATGACTTTATTTTTATAATAATAATAATGATAATAATAGTAATATACCAATAATAATAACAATGACTTTATTTTCTATAATAATAATAATAATAATAATAATATTAATAATATTATTATTATTTTCTATGGGAACATATTTAATATATTAGTTCTAATTTTTAACATGCCCCTCCTACTCTATAAAACTAGCAACTGCACAGTAACAATATTTACACAGTCCATATATATATCATATATAAGCTTACATACATACATTCTGCACAGTAACAATATTTAAAAATATCTACAAAGTGCATATATATACATATATATATTACACACATTTAAATGACAACAATAAATAAAAAGGAATAAAGGATTTGGCATGTTTTGGTTACCTCATTTTGAAAACATAACATGAAGACGCATGTTCAACTGTTTAAGGTAGTGAATTCCAGAATAAAGAAGCGGCATATTGAAATGTTCTTTGCCCTTTTCTTCCTTTTTGGAATTCCTAGTTGATATACAAGTGATGGTAATTCCCTGATCGTATCCAATACGCTGGTAGATTTGTTGGTTAATTTAGAGATTCAAATAAAGGTGCCGAATGAGATTCGGGTTTTTCATTCAAAATGCTCCTTGCTGCATGCTTTTAAAGTTTATACAGGACCATAGTGTACCTCTATTGACATTACCCCTAGTTTTGGCACCCGATTAGATTTTATTACATACTTCGAGAAGGTATTTGTTGAGTAATAAAACCTTCTAGTAGTTTATCGAGGGCTGGCCGTCCTTACCGCACGGTACAAATAAAACCTTCTAGTAGTTTATCGAGGTTCGGGTGCTTCCGGAGTCCAAAATGGCCGCTTTATATAAATGAGACTTTTGGGGATAACTAACCCGAACCCTAACCCTAACCCTTTTTAAAAGACTGAACTTGGGTCTAATTTAGTTTTTACTTCTCTTAAAAGGGTTAGGGTTAGGGTTCGGGTTAGTATTCCCCTAAATACTCATTTGTATAAAGCGGCCATTTTGGTATGAGTTCTGGCTTGTTCTGGAATTTGTTGCTTCTAGTGGTGATAATATTTGTACCGTGCGGTAAGGACGGCCAGCCCTCGATAAACTACTAGAAGGTTTTATTACTCAACAAATACCTTCTCGAAGTATGTAATAAAATCTAATCGGGTGGTTTTGGAGCTATTAGCATGGCTTGGTCCTTTTAGCATTCATTACCGTACCATGATCGTTACACCAATAAATCTTCTTCAAGGGCTATCTCTATATTAGCTAGATTGTCGCTAGAGATATCAGTAGTCATCCTCAAAGGGATTAGTATGGTATTTACTGACATCAAGTGGGCAAATCAGTTATAACTGAATAGAAGAAGACTTTCTCTTCCGTTTTACATGCACCCCTATATTTTGTTTGATCCTTTGGGTTTGCAATATTTTAGCACGCAGTTAAATTATATTATTCTAAACTCACCGATAGAAATTTTCTATTACTCCTACCACCCCCCCCCCACCTCCTGCCCTAGACCAAAACATAATAGTATATCACGTATCACGACTTATTACAATCCAGGGTTTTCACTAACAACAACTTTGATATTGTTTGTAGTATAATCACACCCAAGCCTCAGGCTAAGTCTAAATCAATAAATAACGTTCTTCAACTAAATGTTATATCTATGTATAACGTTCTTCAACTCAAATCTATATCAATGTATAATTTCCTTGGAAGACTTCAACTGCCGGTCCAATGAGTTTAATGTCAGATATTATTTCTTTACTTTCTTTAAATTCCACTGTTAGAGTTCCACCAGGCATTTCTACATCATAAGAGACAGGAACAATCTCGTCTACTACAGTACTTCTATCGTGGAAATGGGCAATAATGGCGACTGCTGTAGCACCAGTACCACAGGCTAATGTTTCCTTGTCCACACCTCTTTCAAAAGTTCGCGCTTTGATTAATTTATCAGTTGTTCGAGTACAAAAGTTTATATTTGAACCATGTGGTGAGTAACGCCCGTAACATAACTCCGGTCCGACTTCCCCGACTTTTACAGTCTGGATATTTGTGACAAACTGCACATGATGAGGCGACCCATTGTCAAGGAAGTAGTTACTATCATCCAGTCTGTAGATATCTCTCACTTTAACATCGTTCATATATAGATAATATTTATCATCCTGAGAAATGTATCCACCGTGATATATAACACCATTACACTCAAAGGTCAATTCTTGAGACTGGTGGCCATCTAGTGACTTTAAAACATAAGATACGGCACATCTCGATCCATTTCCACACAGACTTCCCACATATCCATCAGCATTGTAATATATAAGTTTAAAGTTAGCTATAGAACTAGACAAGATCTCCAGCACCCCGTCAGCTCCTATACCAAAATTCCTATGACACATAGAATTTCTTTGATCACTGGAGATAGAAGCAGTATCACCATCATGTCTGTTGTCTATTACAACAAAATCATTACCAGCACCATGATATTTTCTAAATGAAACGACATTCATTTTGAACTCATACACAAATAAACTATAAAATATTATATTTATTTGGTTTGATAGGAGAAATTCAGGTCAAACAGAATAGATAAAAATATGAGGAGTCATGCAATGTTACCGTATTTATCTATGTAAACATATCCTATATCAAAATAATATTGTAATATAACCTGCCTTTTTGTATTGAAATGAAATGAAATGAAATGGGGTTTAACGTCCGACTGTTCTGGTCCTACTGGGCTAATAAAGGCAGCGACTTACTCACTGAGTCACCTCGTCTCCGCAATTGTAAGACAAACAGCGACAGTGGTCGAGGTTCCTGATTGCTATAGATTGTACTTTTACTGAACCTGACTACATTACGGCGACATCATTTATTGACAGCAATTTAACCATTGCAAAGTCCTTTACACTGACCCAGTGTTTTCATCAGAGTCAATTAAATAAAAATAGTACCCTTTTAATAAGAAATAAGTTACCTTTAATATAAACTGAAAAAAAAGAAAAAAAGTAGTTCCTTTTTAATTGACCCATCAAATTCATGTAAAGTGATATCGCAGTATATTGTGAAATATATCACACAAGCGATATCTACTGTAGAATGTGTAGAACGTGCTATTGGGTGATAAAATAATATCACACGAGCGATATCTACTGTAGAATGTATTATTGGGTGATAGAATAATATCTCAATAATTATTAAAGGGGGATAACTGGTCGACACTTCGAGTTCGTATTCATTGGATCTGATCACCAACTCGAGGTTACTTCTCAGCCAAACATTTTTTTCTTTTTAATTTGCCCATTGGGAAGATATAGCAACGAAATGCATATTTTCGGCCATTTCGTCTCCTTGTTTTTGCCGAGTTTATGTCATTTTCGTCGATTTATTGCTTTGCTTTATATAGTTTCGATCACATGACAACCGACTTATTAGCTAAATACCTGTAACCAATCTTCAAATAAAATTGCGTTCTTTTGTATTCAGATTTTATTTGTTTAACATGCACCAGTTTCGTACCCAATTCGAACCGCTCGTACATCGTACCAATGTTAGGACTGATATCGGCAACAACGGATAAAAATTCTCTTATATAGGATACAGCGAAATTTTACCTACTGAAAGTTGAACTCGCCACGGCGAATGTGCACACTTCAGTGGCTTGTCTCGAAGTGATTGCCAGCTAGTCACACAATACGATAACACTCGTATGAGTCTATAAATAGCCAACGCACATGATCGAAATTCTCTACACATCTATCAGCCGTAGAAAATCTATTATTGAAGATTCTGAATAGCAGTAATATTCAACGTTTTGGTTATTACAGCAGCTTTAGGGTTAGGCAAGAAAAAAATATTAGCAGTAGTTTCATTTTACTTTTACAATGTTCTTAAAACAACTGTTGAATTGTATAACGTGCGTGTTTCTAAATTCAATTTCTTATTCCAGCTTTCTGTTATGTTTCGTAAAAAGGTAGTTTTGATTATCCCGGCCTGTCAATCAGACGGAGAATGATCGATAGACTGGTTAAGCGGGATTAATTTCAAAACAAGGGCACGCTACCTATTTTTTACTCAAAAGTGCCCAGATGTTATGGCCAACACTCGTAACCATTTTTCAATCTATTATTTATTGATGGTTAAATGGTCATAGCTTATTAAGTACAACATGACTATAAATGTGCGAAACTGATTTAAGGCTTGCTATATATAAAAATATTGTCGTGTAATTGTCAAGATATTTGGAAATATTTATTTATGGTTGGCTACCTATCTTTTAGAGTTTTGTCCCTTTTTTGCCGAAACGAAAACACTTCTAGTCAGCGCAATAGAGGATATAGTTTTTATCTGATTTTTCTGAAACTTTCAGGAAGCTTGTATTATGACACGACGACGATCCTATTTTATATGCCTCCTTTTTGCCGACACTTGCTCACTGGAAAATTGCCTTTAAGTTCGTGAGGCAGAACAGTAAGTCGTTAACCCCATTTCATTTCATTTCATTTTCGTATCAATGAAAAGGGTGGACTTAACCTAGAATGTAAATTATATATTGTTAGTGATGTGTGGCGGTTATTAATACTGGACATCTTAATCGTCTTTCCTATCAACCGTAACGACGAATAAAATATTTACAGTGTCCAGAAAACAGTTTGTTTTTATTGTCTGGCGAACATACAACGATGAGTAGCTTTTCATTTATAAAATATCACGGCGCTGGTAATGATTTCATTATTATTGATAACAGAGATTCGTCCAATATCAATAACATCCCTGATGATGAGGGCAAGACCGTATGTCATCGAAGATTTGGAATTGGAGCGGATGGATTAATGGAACTACTTCCAAGTTCTAAGGCTACCTTTAAGCTTGTTTATTACAACTCTAATGGCGGTATCGGTTCTCTACGTGGAAATGGTTGTCGATGTGCTATAGCTCAAGCTCTAAAGTCAACGTATAATTTGAATCCATATCTGACCCTAGAAACAAACGATGTTATATACAAAGGTGGTCAAATGGCCGATGATAAAAACTACTATCTGTGTTTGAAGGATTTCAACTTGCGAGATGTGGAAGTTCTGGATGACAATAACTACTTTATTGACACGGGATCACCGCATCATGTGAGGATAGTCGATGACATCTAGACTGTTAAAGTTCATGATACCGGTACTGAGCTATGTTATGGTCATTATTCACCAAATGGATCAAATATTAATTTTTGTACGGTATCCAGTAGCAACCACATTAAAGCAAGGACATTTGAAAGAGGGTTGGATGCCGAAACGTATGCATGTGGTACTGGTGCCACGGCTGTTGCATTTATTTCGTTCTTTCGATCCAGAGTAAGCCAGGAAATGAATAAATTGATATCTTATAATATAGAAATGACAGGAGGAACCCTGACTGTTCCGTTTATATCACACTGTGACGTATTGACAAATATTAAACTAATCGGACCAGCTGTTGAAGTATTTCGAGGAATATACCCATTGGTATAGATTCGACATGAAATGGGGTTTAACGTCCCGCTGATCACCAATAAAGACAAGGTTACAGATAGAATAAGAACATTATTACATGATCCATTCATTAAAGACATAATATAACAGTAATATATATTTTTAATCAAATTGTTAGCGACTTATATTTTAACCATAGTAATTGATATTTACCACAATGAAAGGTGGTTACCATAGTAATCCATATTTACCAGAATAACCATAATAAAAATTATTTACCACAATATAGGTTATTTACCATAATAATAATAAGTTACCATAATAGCGGTTATTATTTACAATAATAGCGGTTATTATGTACAATAATAGCGGTTATTATTTACAATAATAGCGGTTATTATTTACCACAATATAGGTTATTTACCATAATAGCGGTTATTATTTACCACAATATAGGTTATTTACCATAATAGCGGTTATTATTTACCATAATAGCGGTTATTATTTACAATAATAGCGGCTATTATTTACAATAATAGCGGCTATTATTTACAATAATAGCGGCTATTATTTACCACAATATAGGTTATTTACCATAATAGCGGTTATTATTTACCATAATGATCATTATTTACCATAATGATAATTATTTACCATAATGATAATTATTTACCATAATGATAATTATTTACCACAATGATAATTATTTACCATAATGATAATTATTTACCATAATGATAATTATTTACCATAATGATAATTATTTACCATAATAACGGTTATTATTTACCATAATAACGGTTATTATTTACCATAATAACGGTTTTTAATCTATTAACAATATTTTTAAATAGCTTAAATTTTGATGAATAAAGCAGGTGACCGTTTTTATTGTATTGAAATCTGTTTCGACTCTCAACATAGTAACATAGTTAGACCAGTATCTTTATCATTTATATCGTTATCATGCAAATATCCTCTATTCAGTTCAACCCAACCATGAAGTAGATTATAAAGAAAACGTCCCAATAGGTGTGTGTGTGGGGAGGGGGAGAAAAACTATTTATATATATTCTGAATACATATATCAGGGGAAGGACCCGGAGAAAACCCACGAGGTTGGGCAGACGACCTATTTAAGAATAGAAAAAAAACTGAAATGAGGTTTAAAGTCTTAATGTTCTAACATATGTATAAACCCAGTGTGCACCTAACACCAATGGCGTACATAACGATTTTCATGGAGATCGGGTGTTCGATCCCTGTATTGAACGAGCAAGTTCATCCAGATTTTCCGGCGTGTTTCTCACTTGTCAGCGATGCAGGACGGAGGGCCTGACAAGGACAGTTGTCTAGTCGTTGGGATGGACAAAAAACCAAGGTCCTGTGTACACATTGGCGTGCACGTAAAAGATCCCTTGACAGTTGGAATTCGATATAAGAGTAGGTCGTAGTGCCGCTGTCTGGGCAACATTTCCATCATAGCACACTGTATGGCGTATGCCCGTCTTCATTATTCCGGTTCGGAGCAGAAGAGTAAGACGTTAAACCCTATTTCATTTCATTTCATTTCATAACGATTTTGGGTGTGGGGGGGGGGGGGGGCACCGTGACCCCCGATTAATTTTGTGTATTCTACTTAATCTAATGGACAACTGCTCAACAAAACATAGGCAATATAAGAAAAGAATGAGAATACAAAGTTTCTAAAGAAAAATCACAATTATAATAAAACCAATAAAGCCTGCTGATTGTACAGCCCCATGGACATTACAATAAAACCAAAAAAGCCTGCTGATTGTACAGCCCCATGGACATTACAATAAAACCAATATAGCCTGCTGATTGTACAGCCCCATGGACATTACAATAAAACCAAAAAAGCCTGCTGATTGTACAGCCCCATGGACATTACAATAAAACCAATATAGCCTGCTGATTGTACAGCCCCATGGACATTACAATAAAATCAATATAGCCAGCTGATAGTACAGCCCCATGGACATTACATTAAAACCAATATAGCCTGCTGATTGTACAGCCCC